TTTAGATATTTTTTTTAAGCATAAAAAGTAATTTATGTTATTTTCTTATAAGCAAATGGGATACTCTGAAATAACATGGTTTTGTTTTTTTTTTTTTTCTATAAATAATTTGATTAATAGGTTCAATCGTTATATTTAACAGAGAAAAACCCTGTAGACTGTAATTCCCTCCTCTCTCTCATCCCTGCCGATCTCTTCATGTTCATCATCCTCAGGTTGCTGCTCCGATCTTCTCACCACACTTTATCTATTCTGTTAATCCACTGAAACCAGTAAAAACTTCAATGTTTCAACGAAATTAAGCTTACACAAATGTTTTTATGATTCACTTTTGTTGTTGTTTTTTTGTTTTTTTTTTTCATTTTATAGCTTCTTCGTCTCGGTATAATTCCGTGGAGTGGAGGATGCAAGGGTTTGCAGGCGGAGGAGGAGGCGGTGGTGTTGGGCCAACCGATTTGGCCCAGCTCCAGTCTACAATGCACGCTATCGAACTTGCTTGTTCTTCCATTCAGGTATATGCTTATGCATATAGGTATCTGTAGGCACTCTAATAATTGCTTTATCAATTTGTTTCGTTAAATGGAAGAAGCTGAAAACTGGAGCTTCGAGTGTTTTACTGACGCAAAGGAAAAGAGGAAGCTAAGCAACCGTGTTCTTGCCGGTGTTCCTATTGGTGCTAAGCAAAGATGATCTTCTGTAGCATTAGTATTGTACAAAATCATATGCAGGTCACTGCACCTTTGCCACACGAGCTGGCTTACTCGCATTGAAAACTAATTATGTTATACTCTTCATGGCAGATGCATATTAATCCAGCTGCCGCTGAGGCTACTATTTTATCACTATTCCAGTCACCTCATCCATACAAGGCATGCCAGTTCATTTTAGGTGCGGAAGTTGATGCAATAATGATTATGCTTTGCCCTTTGCATCCTGATTCTGGAACTAATTACTTGACTTGGTTATTTCCGGGACCATGAAATGAGAGTGTAATATTGTTGGATGGGTTTGGAGGAGAAACTATCTGATCTTTCAGGCTAAAAATGTGTGTTTGCAGAGAATTCTCAGGTGGCAGATGCTAGGTTTCAGGCTGCTGCAGCTATTCGAGATGCAGCTATCCGAGAATGGAGTTTCCTTCAGGCTGACGACAAGAGAAACTTGATTAGGTAATATTAAACAAGAACCCTTCTACTCGGTTCTATTAGCCTTGGAAAATATTCAATGTTTGATAAGTTCAGAATTACGTATCTTTCGTCAATATTTTGCTCAATGTTCTGATGAGCACTAAATCCTTCACTTTAAAAAAATAACATTGGCTTCTTTGATTCACCAAATTATTAGAAGAACTAATTTCAATCTTAATTGATCAGATTGGGAATCATTGTATTATATTTGCAGTTTTTGTCTTTGTTATATGATGCAACATGCTAGTTCACACGAAGGCTATGTACAATCAAAAATATCTTCCGTGGCTGCTCAGTTGATGAAAAGGGGCTGGTAAGCTTAATTGTTAAAGAGAATATCTACTCCTTTTAATAAAATAAATTGATGCAATGAATGTGTAAGAGCAACTACGTTGTACCTGCAATTTTTGTTGCTTCTTCTCATGTCATTTTCATATCCTGAATAGAATATAAGACATGCCATGCTGTTTGTACTTGCCAAGGTAGTTAGGTAGGTGTTATTGGGGGTAAAGTTGGTTATGGTTGGATAAGTCAAAGCTGAGACATTGGCATAGGGAGGCAACAGGTGGGGATAAACATGATAATTAATACTTAAGCCTTATCCCCTTGGCTATCTTATGAGTGATCTGGCATAGAAAAATAAAAGAGGTTTTGAGGATATTGAATTGTTTTCTGTAGAAGTAAGGATACTTGGGTGCAGACTCTTAAGTTTTTTTAATTAAGAGTCAACCTCTTTACTTCAGTGAGGACTCAAGGGACCTGACTAATATCTCGGTACATTGTAAATATTTTTCGTGTATAGGTTGCACTTAGTGGTAGGTGTTCAAATTTTGGTGCAAACCATAAAACCAGACTGATTGGACTGGATCAGATTGAATATAGTTTGGTCTGGTCTTCAATCCAAAGGTGGGAGGAATGAAATTAGACAAAAAAAATCTTAACTATGCGTTGATAGTTAATAAATTACTGTTTGTTTTATTAATTTCATTAAATATGGATTCGATGAATGATTATAATTTATGAACTTATTGCTTGTTTTAATTTTGATCAATTTCATTAGTTATTAAAATACAAACATGATAATTTAAAAAAAAAATTGGTCTAAGCAGTTCGGATTGGATTTAAACCGGAAAATACTAGTTCGGCCCAGTTTAGACTGAAATGAGAATAGTCCAGTCTTCTTTCCGTATACCCTTCTTTATTCGGTCCCTCACTCTAGTTTGATATGATCTAGTCTGATTCTGAAATGATGAACACTGTTAATTGCATCCCCATGGTATTGTTGAATAACACACTTTTTGTTCCAAAAGAGCTCCTAAAATTTTCAAGAAAGAAGCAGCTGTGACTACTGCATTAAACAAATGGCTATTACAAATTCAGGGAATTGCCTTTTGGGAACTACAAGACTAAAGCAAGCACTAGCACTAGCCCCATCTAGAAACATGGTACACATAAAGACTAAAATAACTGGTTGTTCATCGAAGTTCGTGACAAGTTGTTATCGAAGTTTCCAAGTATTTGTTGATGTTTGACTGTTTTTTTTTTTCAGTCTTTATATGTTCTGTCTCTAAATGGGATTGGTGCTGGTGTTTGCTTTAGGCTCTTAGATCTCAAAAAGGCACATCTCTGAATGTGGTCTTAAATGTACTTTCATAACCTCGGTTACAGTAGCCATTTGTTCTTCATTGTGGGATTGCTTGAAGGATTTGAACCAATTCATTTCTTCCTTGGTTTTTCTCTTCTAAAAAAAAAGAAAGAGAAAAAATTTCTTCTTTGGTGTTTATTTGATGTGTTCTCTCTGCTTAGAGATCATCTCTACCTGTTTTTGTGGTTTCTAGTGGAGTAAGGGTAAATATATTGCTTTGGAGAGGGTTTTCTTACTAGGTTGTGGGTCATTAGTATGAGGATATTTAAGCAAGAATCTAAATTGTTTGATGACATTTGGGTGAGAAGGGTGGCTTTTTGCTTGTCTTTGAGATAAAGCCCACCATTTCTTTAATAGGGTTACTTTACTTACTCTAAAGGAGATCAGAATGCTGCTTTGTCTTGATACAATAAGATATTTTGTTTCTATTTCTTTTGGAGGATAGCTAATCCTCCTTTAGATTGTTTTATGAAGTCAGTTCAGAGTTCTTTTCTCCACATTAGATGTCTGCTACTTTGCTTCTAGTCAGTAGTGAGTCTGAAGGTCAACCTTGAAAATCTGAACTTGTTACAACTAAAAAGGTGGTTCTCATAAAGGACTTTTCTAGAACTTTGGATGCAATCTAAGTGGTTTTCCTATCAAATAGCTGGGGTTAACTCTAGGTGCCAAGAGTTCTGAGAAGAGATTTGGGATCTGGTTGTCTCTGGTATATAAAAAAAGGTTGGTAGGGTGGAAAAAACTCTACCTATTCAAATGTATTAGGCTCTTCCTAACTCTGATCAATTTATTATATCTCTTTTCCTTATGCTTTCAAGTTTGGCCAATGGATTGTGACGCTTTCAGAGGCATCTTCTTTGGGGCAATGGGGAGAATAAGAGGACATTTCACTTAGTGGACTAGAAGATAATGCTGGAGGCTTGGGTATCAAATCCTTACTTCCATTTGGTAGGGCTTTTTGAGCCAAATGGTTATGGTGGTTTATCTTTGTGAATGGGAGCTTGTGGAGGAGTGTCATCTGTCCTCCACATGGGCTCTTGGATGGGGGTTGATGACAAGGGATTCTCGGATTGGATTTGGCTCTAGTTTGTGGAGAGGTATTAGGAAGGAATGGATTGTGGTATTGGACTTCACTTAGTTTCAGGTGAGTAGTGGTTGTAGAATGAGATTTAGGGATGATGTATGGTGCAGTAATCATCTGCTAAAACATCAAACTGCCCACTTTCTTTTCTCTTGCCAGGAACAACGACACAAATATTGCTTTTGGAGATGTTGAGGCATATTCCCCTTACCCATAACCTCAACGAATGGGTGGTGGGGGGATGCATTTGATCTCTTGCTTCCTTGAGTAAAGGCTTCGTGCAGCAGAATAGCGATGATGAGCCAATTAGGATGTTCAAATGGTGCAGGCTGGCATTGGATGTGCAAAGGTGTCTGGTCAGTGTCGCTGTGCGTGCAAGGAAGTTGCTTTATCCTTGTGCAGATTGCATGTTGGAGTTGAGTGCAGATCATGTGCTGGGGAGTCAGATGTGTGCCAGAGGCACGATTGTTGGTGGTCTGCTTGATTACTTCCATTACCAAACTCCTGGACAGTTCTGGCTGATAATTGTTTCAATTTGCCAACTAACAATTCAAATTTCAATATGTCCTATTCCTGGTCTTTATGATATGTCTTAAATTTTCCAAACATAGCTTCTAATTCCCTTATAGCAACTGGCTCTTATACCAGATGGTTATGATCCTTATTTAGGATCTAGCTATGAGATTTTTGTTAATAGTATTGGCTCATCAAGATCATGACGATCTCCTAGAGTTTAGAGTACGAAACTTTTTTGATAAAATTTTCTGCACATCCAATTTAGATACAGGTAGTGATTTTTACACAAGAGGGATGAGAAGCAGTTGTTCTAGTGATTATTTTTAGAGCAGTTGTTGCTTCACATTCTCTATATTTTTCTCCTATTATCATACCACACTATTACATTAATATCCACTTAAATATCCGACTTACACATAAAATCCAGCACATGAAGAGCAGTGAATCTGCAGCAGTTATTTTGGAATTTTATTCTTATTTCCAGATCTAAGTAACTACCTCCCTCCCTCTTTGTTATCATCTTCTATCTTATCCTTCAAGTAAATCATACACATACTTAATATATTATTAATCTTAGAGTGACATGTCTAAGATTAAGGATAGATGGTTATATTATTTTGACTCTTTGTTTTTGGGGCATGACGTATAATAGGATGGAGGATCTTGGGCATGTGACTGATAGTTTTACTGAATTGTAAATATTTTTTGTATATAGGTTGCGCCATCTTGATGCTATTGATTTAATATACTGTTTATATTTTTTATTTCAAAAAAAGAAATAATATCTAAATATATTATTAAATTTCTTGTCCTCTTTTTAGCATCTTTTTGCTGTAAAGAGTTTAACATCTCTAATACCAAATTGTTATGATCTTTATTTGAGATCTACTTATGAGATTTTTGCTAATAGTATGAGCTCGTTTTTTTTTTTGAAATAAAAAGTGTAAGATGTATCTTAACACGGTACCAAAACGGGGGTACCATGAATTTACAAAGATTTACAATGAAGTAAGAGTATTTATGATATTTCCAAAATCCATATCACTAATAATGTTATAACCTAATAAAATAGATCCAAAATAATAAATCCACCTATTTTTTAATTTGTTTGTACTACTTCCAACATCATCAAAGGCTCTACTATTCATTTCTTTTCAAATGACTCAAAAAACAGTTAAACGAATAATATTAGAAACATTTCTTTTTACACATAAACCATCCCAAACCCATATATCCTCCCCAACCGAACCGGCAATCATCTAATCAATCCCTAAAATGTCATAAATCATACACCACAAGCTGTATATTGTAGGACACCGTAATAAAAGGTGGTTGCAAGATTCCTCTGCCTTCAGACAGCAATAGCAGCCGTTCACCAAAATCTGACTTCTTATTTTCAGCTTGTCTAAGGTCAACATTCTCCCCCAACATGCCTCCCACGTGAAAAATGCTATGCGAGGGGAACCATGGATTTCCATATGAGCTTAGCAGGAAAATCTTCCCAGGCAGCACCACCGATGCTGCAAAGATGATTGTAATGCGAGCTAACATAAAAATTTCCTTTCTTTTCCAGTTTCCACAAGAGCTGATCCTCGGATATTGACACATTCTGTGTTGCAAGTACCTGCAACAGCTCTTTGAGCTCCCCTGTCTCCCAATCATTCAAATTCCGTTTAATAATGACAGCCCAAACAACATTCTTATTTGAAACACTGTAAGCTTCCTCAACCACCATATCCTTAGATTCAGCAACACTATAAATTGTGGGAAAACTTCTCCTAAGACAGCCATCACCCGCCCAAACATCATCCCAAAATTTAGCCTTGTTTCCTCTACCAGTCTTCCATTTACTACACTGTTGGAACCTATTCCACTGCATTAAAATCTTTGAGTGATATGTCTAAGATTAATAGTATGAGCTCGTTAGAGAGAACCCAACGTTATCTTAAAGTTTAAAGTGGCCAAGAAATTTTTTTGACAAATTTTTCAGCATATCTATTTCAGAGGCAGCAAGTTGTTTTTGCACAAGAGGGATGAGGAGTAGTTCTTTTGATGGTTATTTCTAGAGCAGTTACTGCTGCATATTCTCCCTAATTTTCTCCTACTTCCTACCACACTATAACATAAATACCCATGTAGATATCCTACTTATATCCAACATGTAGAGCAGTTAGTCCGCAACAGTTGAAATTTTAATCTTATTTCTAGATTAAGTAACTAACTACCTTTCTTTCTTATCATCTTCTATCTTGTCCTAAAACTAAATCATAAACATACTTAAAAACATAAAGTGTAGAATCGTTATTCACAAGACAATATCTTACTATATTATTAGACATGGTATAATATCTGAATATATAATTAAATTTCTGTTTCTCTTTTGAGCATCTTCTTGCTTTACAGATCTAACAGCTCTCTTCCAATTTTGCTAGTCTTAGTGCTCAGTAGTTCCAACTTGTAAATATTTTGTTCCCATCATTCATTTTTTTGGGAGAAGACCTTGGTGACCTTATAGATGCCTTGTATTATTCTACACTGTAATGTTTTCTTTTCTTGAGCTTAGGCTCTCTTTTGTACAATGGTGCACCTCGATGCCTTTTTGGTGCATTCTGTTTTATTTTTATTTTTTGGCACAATTAGATGTCCTATGATCAAAGGAAAGTCATAAAACGGAGCCAAGAATCTCCAATTCTAGGAAAAGGAGAGCAAGTATCCTTGAAAATTCTCTTTGTTCTTCTTCTTTGTTCTTTGAGAGAAAGAAAAAGTAACATTAACAGGGACCAAGGGGGTCTGCCCAAGTACATTATGAAAAGATGATGAGTCAAAAAGTCTCTCTTTAATGATATGGGTGCTGGCAACAGAAGATTATACAAGGCACCTTGGTGACCTTATAGATTCCTTGTATTATTCTACACTGTAATGGTTTATTTTCTTGAGCTTAGGCTCTCTTTTGTACAAGGGTGCACCTTGATGCCTTTTGGTGCATTCTGTTTTATTTTTTTTAGGCACAATTAGATGTCCTATGATAAAAGGAAAGTCATAAAATGATATGGGTGCTGGTAACAGAAGAGTCTTTCCGGCTAAGCTGATTTGGTCGACAAAAATTCCTCCTCTCATTTCTTTTTTCGCTTGGGAGGCATGTTGGAAAAAGCCCTCACTTTGGACAGGCTGAAAAGTAAAGGCAGGATTATTGTTTATGGTTGTTACTGCTGTCTTAAGGCAGAAGAAACCTGCAATCATTTACTTTTGTAGTGCCTGTATATAACCTATGGTGTAGGATTTATGGTTTGTTAAGTATTGATTGGGTAATCTCGGATTCGGATGGGGGGAGATTTGAGCTTGGGGATGGTTTATATATAAAAAAGAAGCATTGCCAATATCATCCTATTGACGGTTTTTTGGATCATTTGGAAAGAGCGGAATAGAAGGGATTTTGATAGCATAGAAAGTAATTCTAATAAATTAATTGATAGGTGAATGTACTTGTGTGGGACAATTGAGATAGGTCATGACATCATTAATGATGAGGATTTTGGGGATGTCATTGATACATTAACTTCATTGTAGATGTTTTTGTATATGCGTGGTGCCCCTTTTTTGATATCTTGTGAATAATACTTTATGCTTTTTATATTTTTTTAAAAAAAATCATAAGTCAAAAAGTCAATCCAGTGGCTTTGGTCCTCATCATGAATGATCAAATTTCCTGCAAGAAAATACTGGAAATTGTTGACTAGAATATTTTGTTGCTCAATTAGTTGAGATATTTTTCTTTTATAGTGTTTTCTATAATGATGTAATTAATTAGTACAATCCATTAAAATTTCTATAATAATGTAAATTTTCTTATTCGTAGGTAAGAATTCTGTGTATATACCTTGGTTGTAATAGGACAAAAATAATAAGAAAATAAAGTTATTTTTTTTTCGCCAAAATCTACATAAATGAAATCAGGTATCCCAAATTCTAGCAGAAGGAAAGCAAATATCCTGAAAATCTCTTTTGTTCCTCTTTTTCCTAATAATCGATAAAATACACATGAAGTAAGACTATAAGAGTTTGAAGCTTCTTTGTGGTACAAACTTTAACACCTACCTACCCCCAAAACCTCCTCAATCAATATAGAAACGACCCAAGACGATTGAGAAGACTCAACATACAGTACAACATTCTTCTAGCCTCCAAACAGCAAAGAAGGAGATGGTTGTAGGGTTCTCACTCTTGTATAAATTTTCTTTTTTTGTGATGTACATGGGTCATAACCAATGGGGTATTTATTCATAATTTTCCATTTTTCCTCCAGAAAAATAAATAAATGCCCTAGACTTTAAAAATAGTATAGCCTGCTGCACCTCCAATGAACCCTCAACAGTTGCACCATGAAGAACCAATGAATTATAACCTTTTGTTTTGGTGGCGGGAGGGGGTTTGATCTTGAGTGAGTCCTTGCCCCTTCAGCAAGACCTCTGTTTGAACAATCATCTTCTTAAGTAGGTGCCATAACTCAACAAGGATCAAACCCTTACTTTTTGGCCAGGATCTCTTTGTGCACAATTGTTGCTTTGAATATCAGCCACAACTTAGAAAAACTAATGGTGCTCTTTATATCTCGTCAAAGAAGGATGGTTAGCTTAAGAAAGATCAACCTATACTTAAAGAGGTAAGGTTTGCATGTAAAGAACAGTGGATTCAGATAAGTGATATGTTCGGTGGACTACTGCAAGCATAAAGATGGTCTATACTTTTTAAGGAGTTGTTTCCAAGGAGAAGCAATTGGTTGAATCTAGTGACCTTGGTTTTCCCTGGAGAAGTGTGTAACCAGCTAGGTATGAACCCAAGGATTGGTGTATATCTTGCTGGTTTTCTTCTATGCCAGGATATCAGATGCATATATGAATATTCTAGTAACATCATTACTTTACCAGTGAATTTTAATACTGTATTTTGGCAACTTGCTAAATGGATGAAACCAAGGTTACGTGTTGGGAAATGAACTTTGATAGACTCCTAATTGCATGTTTAATATGGTGCTGGCCATCATGACTTGTTCATTCAACATGGCAAGATCCAAACTGATATTATATTAGCAATCATTCTAAAACCTGTCATATTTTGGTGTGACAGTTTCTCATTCTTGCGTGCTTCTTGGTATCCTTTTTAGTTTTCTTATGGGAAAAAGATATTGTATATCTTTACCATATGACAGTTCCATTGTTATTTAAACACCGGAATTGTAAGTGAACTGAATGCTGATGCAACTGCAACACGTATTTGGATTCCTTTTGATAATGGGTTTGGTCCTTGCTATATCTGCCCTGTACACACATAATGAGCAATTTTATGGGATATGTTTTCTTCTTGATCTCCATTTAATTCGCTAAGCTTTCATTTACTAAGCCTTCTGCAGCTTTGTATTTTATTAAGCTTGTATCATATTTTATCTCACAAGAGCAGATAATTCTATGCTATCCATTGTTTCCTTTTTCTTAAAATAGTTTTTTGATATAGGCTTGAGTTTGCACCAGCTGAGAAGGAGGTGTTTTTCTATCAGGTAATGGTTACAATTCCACCCTGTGCATGCTTGTTTCCTTTACTTGTTCCTGAGTTTGGATACCTGTTATCCCTTGGCTACCTTGTTGATTATTTGAAAGGAGAGGAATAGGACTTTTGAGGGTCCCCTTAGTAGAGATAGATAATTATGGTTCCAGATCCTTTATTTATTTATTTATTTTTTTATATTCAAGGGTCATCTCTTAATTCTTTTGAGGATTTGGGGTACCTTCTTGATATTTTGATTCATCTTTAAGGTTTTCATGTGTGGGTTGCCCCCTTCGTGTCTTGTTAATGTATGTTTCTACTTTTTTCTTTAAAAAAGAAGACACCTGTTATCATCTTCTGGGTTCTTCTAAATTGCTCTTTTTCCCTGTTTTTTGCCCTGCTTCCAGTTTGTAACTTTTTTGCAGTATAGATGATATTTATGGCCATAAGTGTAACCATATAAGTAACTGCAATTCTTTTCTCTATTGTTATTGCAAATGAAAAAAAAAGGAAAAAAGTGATGGAGATATGGTCGGCTCAAGTTACAAATATTATTAATAGCTCGTTATTTGGCAGTGGCACACTGAACATATCAAGCCACCATTGTGTTAATTGGGCACTAAAATTGATATAGCTTTTGCACTGAAATGATTTGATATCCTACAGCTGATTTGAGCAATAGAAGAGAGAGTATCAACTGCAGAATAAGGAATATATTGCAAAACAATGGATCTTTAATGAGGAAGATAAAATTGAACTGAAAAAGACACCTTCATGATGTTCCATTGTTGTCTTTATTTTTGGTTTTCGATACTCTTCCTGGAGGACTGATGATGATGTACAGTTGGCCAGAATTAACTTCCTTAATGTGATGTATGCAGAAATGAATCTTTGCATTTCAGTCAACTTTGATACTAATTTAGTGAAAGCCTCCATGACCATTATTGGATGTGGATATTTCTAACAATTCAGATCTACAGGTTAACCAGGCTGTTCTTGGTGCTCATGGCTTAGACGTGCAATTTAGCGGGATAAGTTTCGTGGAATCATTGGTATAATTTTGCTGTCTATTGCTTAAATGATCTTTACGTCATCTCTAAGGGTATACTTAGTTCCTTCTTTTCAGGTATCTGAATTTTCTCCCACCACTTCAAGTGCCATGGGTCTTCCACGTGAATTTCATGAGCAGTGTCAAATGTCATTGGAGCTAGATTATCTAAAGGTCTATTCACACAGCTATTAGCATTTTGTTTTGCTTCTATAATTTGTTAAAAACTTGCTCTGGTCAGAATTCCCTAAAAGATTGTCTGTTATTTATATCTTTATCAATATTTTATTCAATGAATGAAGTTGTAATATTTTCTTTACTATTTTAATATAGACATTCTACTGTTGGACAAAAGATGCTGCCTTAAGTGTTACAAACAGAATAATTGAATCCAATTCTGAGGTTCCGGAGGTCAAAGTTTGTAATGCTGCACTCCGTCTCATGCTTCAAATACTGAATTGGGACTTCCGTTATAACAGTAGGGGCACAAAAACTGGCATAAATGTTTTTACAGCTGGGTTAAGATCTGGCAGTGTTTCACCTCGGAGATCTGAGTGTATCCTGGTGCAGGTAATCAGTTGCACTGTTTAAATGTTGTAATCAGCTGTATGACGTTTTATTAGTGTATAGACAATTTAAGAGACTCATAAGCGTCATAATAACTGCATTGAGACTCTTGGTAATGGTAATTTATTCTTGCTTATTAGTCAGGCACAATCTTCTAGACGATCTGTAGTACATAAATGGATCTACAGAATAAAACATATTTAGCATTGTTAAAATATTTTTATCTCTTTATGTTATTATTCTCCATTTTTTACTAGGATTTTAGGTTAGTGTCTTGCATATTTTTTCTTTAAATGTTAGATGCATCAGATTGGATGCTCATCTATGATTGTGCCTTTTATGGCAATTTATACTGTTTTTTTTTTCTTTTTGTGCTGCTTACAGCCTGGTCCTGCATGGCGTGATGTTTTGATTTCAAGTGGCCACATTGGATGGCTTCTGAGTTTATATTCAGCACTGAGAAAGAAGTTTTTGTGTGAGGGTTACTGGCTTGACTGTCCTATTGCAGTTTCTACTCGAAAGCTTATTGTTCAGTTCTGCTCGTTGACAGGAACAGTATTTTCTTCTGGTAGGTTTTCATATTCTTAATGATCATACTTTTTTTGACCATAGCATACTTGCTACTCTTCTGAGAATCTGATTTATGCAATCATGTTATTTAGAAACCTATACTTGGAAACTCTGATGGGTAGGTAGGCATCATAGGGTCCTTGGTAAAGAACATGCCTCTGTTAAATGTCCTTGGTAAAGAAAATACCTCTGTGATTGACTTTTTCAGTAATTTAGATAATGGGCAGATGCAAGAGCATCACTTTCTACAGCTGCTTTCTGGGATATTAGAGTGGATAGATCCTCCTGATGTCATTTCAAAGGCAATTGAAGGTGGAAAAAGTGAAAGGTTATCTCTTTAAATGACCCTTTTGTTCCATTTAATATTTATGCCTTTTATATGTTTTTGAGTCTCACTATTTTTTGGTTTTGATTAGTGAGATGCTTGATGGTTGCCGAGCATTGCTATCTATTGCAACCGTAACAACTCCTCTTGTCTTTGACCAACTCTTGAAATCAATGAGGTCAGTTATGTGCGATTTAATTTTATAATTTGTTTAACTATTTTTTTATTATTTATTATTTGTCCACTTATTCCATAATGTGGTCTTGAAAAGGAATTTCTTCTTGCCTTGTTGTTCAGGCCTTTTGGCACTCTTACCCTATTGTCCACCTTGATGTGTGAAGTTGTTAAAGTTCTAATGACTAATGACACTGAAGAGGAAACTTGGAGTTGGGAGGCGCGTGATATCTTGTTAGATGCCTGGACCATGCTACTTGTGGTATGTTTTAAACATGTGATAACATCCTTCTAAAAAAGAAAAACTAAAACAGTTTACTTTTGTAAAGTTATCAAGCGTCCTGGAGTTTTAAATGTCAGTACTGTTTAAACCAAAATTTAGCTGGCAAAATTTTTCTCTCAACGGAATTTATTTTATTAGTGCTTGATTAATATGTTATTGTTGTTTTTTTTCCTGATAAAAGAAGAATTTGTTAAGACCAGAAAAAAAAACAATATAGGAGAATGAGACATCCTCCCAAAAAAAAATGAAATACAACAAGAAACCCATCAATGAACAGAAGGAGAACAACCAACAAAAAAATTTAACTATCATGAGTAATTATATTCTGATTATAGGATCTGAAGTAGTGACAGAGAAAGATAACTTAGGTGCATTCAAGTAGTATAATCCATTTCTGGTTTTAACATTTCCAATTATCTTCTATGAGTTTTACTCCTGAAAGTCATAGTGAGAAGGAAAGAAAGTTACTTTGCAGTTCAAATCCTTTGATAATTTAGTGACATAAACAAGATTAGTACAAAATTAAGGAACACATAACACATTTTCTAGAATTAGAATATGACTAAGTTTAATATTGCCTGTTCTTGTAAAGGTATTTAGCAATCCATCAGCAGGAATAGCTTTTCCACTACTTAGACATGGAACACGTGTGAAAGTATTTTGAATAGTTGGTCATATGGTCAGTGATCCTTGAGCCTATAGTCCATGACTTTTCGAAGAATCTAACCGAGACATTTAAACCATGTGGGAAAGAAAAAATACTTGAGCATATCACTAAGCTTGTACCTGCGGGTTGTTGTGGATTAGCCATAGTGGTTTTGCGTTAGTAACTTGAGGTGAAACCTCTGACATGATCTGAATATTTAGAAGACAATTAAGGCCGATTAAATAGACAAAATGTAGGGATTGCCGGACTGGTGCAGAATTTTTAAGCTGTTCGCAGGAGAGAGCTAAGTATGTGACAAATCGCCTGTGCTTGTGGGCTGTGCGCAGCAGGCAGACACAGCTCGTAGAGGCTGCAAAATTTTTGGCTGCATGCAGAAGGGTGGATGCATGATCCCATTGCTGAGCAGAGGCGCAGCTGGAGGCACTGTTTTGGGCTGGTGCAGCAGAGGGCAGCTGTGCAGTGATGACCCACTGTTTCTTGGCTACTTTGGTGGCTGTTGCGGCAGGGAGGCAGATCTGCGGCTGAGCAGCAGGAGCAGTGCGTTCAGGAGGGGCTGCGGCTTATGGCTTTTGGCTGCAGGAGATGAAGTGGCGGCTTGCGGCTGGTTTGTTGGTGCTGCCTGCTATGATGGCCAATCTTGACTGCTGGTGATGGGCAGCTAGTGGTGGCTGATGGCGGGCTATGAAAGGTGACTCCTTTTAGAGTTTTTCTTATTTCGGCAAGAAAGACCAAATAGGATTTGTATGAGTGTTTAGGGTTTTTTTTAATCTAGGACTCTGATGCTCCGCGGAAAACTAAACTATTGTGTACTTCATTAAATATCTGGGTCCTATATTTACAAGTGAATAGTAATAATAAAAGAAAACAGTACCAATTACAAAGATTAGAAAGAACCCTAAGAAATCCTAGTGTACGGTTCTTAATACTTCTTCTTCTTCAACATCAACCGAGTCAAAGGAGGACCAATTGTTGTCCTCATCCTCGTGGGACCTGATGTTGTCATCCAACTCTCTGCCCCCAAAATTGGTCTCAACAACTGATTGGATCTGATTATACAGATGCTTCAATTCCTCTATCTGTTTTTCCATCCATTTCCTTAACTCGATGAATTTGATCTTTGTTTGGGAGTGATCGACAGCCTCTGTATTCTTCTTTGCTGGTGTCAAGTGGGAGACATCAATGTCTAATTGATCAGTTTCTGCTCACATACAATAATCAATTTCAACCTTCCTTTTCCCTTTGTTAATTGTTGCGGGTCATTCTGGTCCTGCAATGTGGCTGCATCAATTGGGCTATTTGATTCTCGGCCTTTGTTGAGTCCATCGAAGAGCTGGATTATGGGTCAGGCTTTCTGGGTTTCATTTTCTTCACTTGGTTCGTAGCAAGCGTTGAGTATTACGCCTGGTTTAAATGTGGCTAGGCTAATAAGATTGAACTTGGAGCCTGGCTAAGAGCCCAGTCCAATTGAAACAGTCTTTCTGTAACTTAACCGCGGTAGCTGTTGCTGAGTTGTCCTTAGGACCCACTTCACCGTGCGTTTCTCCTCTCATCAACCATTGTACATAATGGATATGCATCAATTGCCTTGTTGATATCTGCAATCTCTTCTCCCATCAGATTCAATCTATTACAGCATGTAGATAATGTGGCAAAATTCTTGCTAATTTGAAATTGAATTAGATGTGCCATCATTCATCCTCTACTCTGTATCACTGTCACCGGCGACCCTGCTTTGCAGATGATTTGAGGTGGAATTCTCCCTGGGACTATCCTTTACAAATTTGTGATGGAAGCTTGCTGCCAAACTCTCTATGGTCGCCATGACTTCCCTCTTTCTACCCTGGTCACATGTCTCCAAGGTGGATAAAGTGTCAGTCATCTTCCTCTGTTGTCCCTTCACTGTCCTCAGGGATGCAAATCCGGTTAGATAGGGCTGCCCCTTTAAATTGTATAACCTCCATAACTCCTCTCTGTGCATTTTTGTTGAGCGCTGTCATCAGAAGATACCCTACCTCCACCCTACATACCAGCCTGTACAGAATCTCTTCCTTCACCAAAGAAGTCGGACAATTCTGCAGCCATTCGACCTCTCACAGACCAAGTTGAAGGACAAAACTGTGCTTATTTCACTTCTCTTGAATTTTTACTGTCCCTGGACTCCCCTGCATGTCAAATTTTCGTCCATATTATAAATAGTTTCATTTCCACCGAGAATACCAACTTCGGACCCCCTAGCCTCATACTCTTCCTAAAAATCTCAGTAAGAAGAATATTAAATACTAATGCTAATAATAAGAAAGAATCTGAAGACTGCTCTCCTATCATCGTGAAAGAATCAATATACAATGAGCATAGAAATTACTAGCTGATTCCCAGAGCGGCAATCTCCAGCTGAAATGCTAGATTTTTGACAGAACAATATTGGCACCAGAAGCTTCTCAAGCTCAAGCATTTACTTTTATGTTACTGCTGTTTTCATAATGGAAATTACATTTCTTCCTATGCTTTGTCAATGGATGCCATCTAACTAAAAGTTTGTTGCTCAGGCTATGGATAGTTCCAGTGGGAATTCTTTGCTTCCACCAGAGGGAATAAATGCTGCTGCCAATCTTTTTTCTTTGATCATTGAGTCTGAGCTAAAAGGTAAATTTAATAATTCCCATGATCTGTAGCTTCATTCTTGCATATTATGTTATCGTCTTTATGATATAGTGGCTTCCATTAGCTTCATTCTTGCATATAATGATATCGTCTTTATGATACAGTGGCTTCTGCATCAGCAACAAATGAAGATTATGACACTGAATACTTACAGGCTTCTGTTTCTGGTATTGGAAAAGCTACCAGAAGTCCTTCCAAATTTGTTTACATATTATTTGGACAGTACATCAGAAAATTCCTTGTCTTGTATCATAAGAATATCTCATTGCAGCTATGGATGAGAGGCTAGCTTCCTATGCCCTCATTGCAAGAGCAGCAGTTGAGTACACGATTCCTTTGCTGACAAGACTTTTTTCTGAGCGCTTTGCGAGACTCCATCAGGTGCTCTTGACTATGTTTTCAAGATTTCTATGTAAGATTTGATTAGTTGGTGCTAGTTATAATGTCTGGTAATAATTGTTTAGAATAAATGAAGAAATATCATTGGAAATAGATAATATAATTGGAGGAAAAGATTCCTACAACAATGAAAATGGAAACCGAAAAAGCCAAACTTCAATAGAAGATATCTGTTCAATTCTTTTGCAAAGTAAGAAACCATAAGCCTTACTTCAAAGCAAATCCAAAAGACCTCCCTGTCCCAGAGAAACTGGGTGATTGGAAATGACCCTAGATGATTAGTTATATCCTCACTTATTTGTGGATTTGGAGACTGTAGGAATTGATTTGTAAATTTAGTTTTCAAATGGCTCACAACAATAAAAGGAAATTGTATGGAATCTTCTCATCTCGTTTTCTGGGTTAAGGATATATCTCCCCTGTTGTTGGATGGTTTGATGATCAATCTTTTTGATGGAAGTTATCACATTTGTTCATATAATTTCTTAATCACTAGTTCATTTGCTCAATATATATATATATAATATACTAAACTCATTCTTAAAATGTTGAAGTACAATACTCAATTTGTTTCCCTTATTCTGTGGGCTATTATTTGGTTATCTGGAAAGAAAGTTAGGAGAGAGTTTTTGATGCCATTTTGCCCCTTTTTGCTAGCATTAGAGATTACTGGTTCCAGATCATGAGTTTTTTGTTTAATAGTCAGTCTCTTATCTTTGATGAGGACTTTAGGGAACCTCATAAAGTTTTTTGGTTTTTTTGTCACAATCTGTGAAGCTTCTTGTGTACCTGGGTGGTACTCCCCTTGGTTTGCTATTTATACTTCTTAAAAGACATTAAAATACAACAAAATTAATAAAAGTGACAAATAAGGTAATATTAAAGCCATAATTAACTATTCCAAAATATTGTATTTCACCTGCACATAAAGATTACACAACAACACTAAATTGTTAAATATTGGAGTAATACATTAATTTGGGAATAATATTATGAGTATTGACCAAGAAGGTATATCATTAAGATAATAAGATATCAAGTCACTATTTGGTTAACTGATTTCTTAAAATCACTAAATGGTTAGTGAGACCAAATTTTTGGAAATCCTAACCGACATGGATAACTGAACCATGATTTAGAATCTAGTTAATTGAGTAATGAACAACTCGAATAAACTAGGTTTATTACTTATCTTCAGCACTTTTTTTTTTCTTAATTTTTAATAAATGTTACTTACCGTGACTAATTTAATGAAACCAACATTTTTTATTGTCTCCATTTTTAGAGGAAAATTTCTCCATCTATTATTATTCTTTTGTATCTATCCTCATCTTAACTTGTTAGAGTCTTTCTTTTCCCTCTTCAACATCTTATGTGATTGGCAACCTGCTGATTATAGGAAATTCTTCTTGTCTAGAAAAGGTGTGAGAGGAAGAAGGGAGGGAGAGAGGAGTCAGTCTCTTTTTTGACTAATTTGAACTATATCTGGTTCTTGGTGTAGAATTTGAAGTAACAACAAGACTGTTTTGCTGATATGAGTCTTGGAAGAAACAAAATATGAACTTGGAACATCAACATATTATGAATGAGGAAAATTAGACGATAATTTTGCACTCTGTAACATAACTTTACATGGTATATCTGCATGAGTTACTCAGGACTATTATCTGAATCAATTTCTGCTTTTATAGGGTAGAGGCATTATTGATCCAACTGAAACTCTGGAGGAACTTTATTCGTTGTTGTTAATAGCTGGCCATGTCCTTGCTGATGAAGGGGAGGGAGAAACGCCCTTGGTAACTGGTTACCTTTCAGATTGTTGGCATAGAAATGCAAAATTCACACTTTTTGCTTATTTTCTTTCTCTTAATTATTATAAACTTATGTGCCATTGTTTACATCAAAATAGTAGTTTGATTCACAATAATTTGTCCTTCACAGTTAGTTTACTCTTCATTTTAACATGTGAAATACTATCCTTTATCCCAAAATCTTTGCCCTCTTTGAAAAATTCAATCCCTTTGGTATAAGTTGATAATACTCATTGACATTCTGTTGGTTGACTCCAAGATTTGGCAATAGTCGAACTCTTGTTTTCTTGAGATAATTAGTGTTTACTTGGACAGATAGAAGAATGAAGTTTCTTGGCAACTTGCAGAGCCTTCCTGCATGTTCCATGCATGGGTTGCTAGTCTGTGGATGTCGAACCCAACTTAGATTTAATTTAAAGAATGCCTTTATTTCTTTTGTTGCTGCTAGAGGAATAAACCTATCTTTATGATATTTCACGTGTAATGTTGATTGTTGAAGGAAGAGTACATGTTATTACTTGTGAATAAGAATGTAAAAACTAAGAATAAACTCTAACTATATAGGCATGGACTTTACAGGAAATTACCCTATTTTCTCCAATATACTGTAGAAAGACCCTATTCTTCCTGTCCTCTAATATTCCTCCTCTCGCTAAAGTTTGTATAAGCTCTCAGCTGATTACAAAGAAAACCAAAGAAAATAAAAAACTTAAACAAAACAAAACTTCTCCAACTCGAGTATTTTGCGAAATAGTAGATGCCCACCAGCGAGGATCTTGGTTTTGATTTTGGAGCAGTACATACCACTATTTGTAAATTTTGGTCTACCATTTTGGACTTATTGCTAATTTTTATACTTATTATAAATAAAAATTATATGTAACTACACAGACAAGTACAATGATAATAATAATGTTATATTAAAGAGGAAATTGTTATTTAACTTAAAAATTTATAAGTAAATATCAAATATGATGTTATTCATTACAAATTTCAATAATATAATCATGTCTAGATGTTGAAGTTTCTGGAATTAAATCTCTGTAAAATTTTGTTCATATTTAACAGTGTATAACAGTTAGGCATATATAGAAGATTAAAAAGAGTCGGAAAAAGAAACTCTATAAAATAGAATCAGTCCTCTAAGGAGATAATCTTCCAGTCATGGAAGTGAATTATACTTCTCTTTAATTAGGAGGTTACCCAAAGATACCCTCCAAGATTAGGTATCGGATTTCTGCCCTCCCCTTAAGCTGGCTTGTAGATATCGGGCAAACCTAGCTTGGAATTATGTTCATAAAAAATCTTCCTAGGTGATGCCTTGGTGAAGATATTTGCAATCTTCCTAATTTTGCTGGTATTAGAAACCATTGGGAGGGGATTCAGGTTCGAGAGTGTACGAAGACTATTATCAGCCTCATTCCTGCTATTTTTTGGAGAACTTGAAGAGAATGTGAAATTTTTTTGATGGTTTTATATTTAACTTTTTATTATGAGAGATATTTGGTTCTGGACTTTGTATTTTTTGTTTAAAGGTCTCCCACTCCTTAGCAGAGAAGATTTAAGGAACCTAATTGATGCTCTTACTAACTTTATGTTGTGTTCTCGAGACCAGAATCTTGTCATTGGGCGGTTCTCTAGAATTTTCGGTTTCAAAATCTGCTTCTCTTCTTTATTGTGATTCTTCGAGCGATGTATTTTATGAAAATAGATTACAACTAATGTAAAGGAGCTGCTACCTTAAATCTCATTAGAAAGAGTTTCAATCTCGTAGTTTAAAATAATATTTTGATTTGTTTTATTAATAACAGACATACCCTTTTATATATAGGTTACAATTCTTATTTAAATATCTTAATTTAATTAGGAATTTAAATATAATTAGAAATACTCCACTAAAATATTGAAAATCGTATACTATTTAGTAATTCAATATTAATGAAAAATTACATATTATTTAGGAATCTAATACTAATTAGAATTCTAACTATTTAAAAATATAATACTAATTAGAATTTCATATTTAATTAAATTTCATCATCCTATTTAGTCATTGTTTTACCTTCCATATTTATGTCATACAAATGTATGCATAATATTACTTCCCTCCTGGTCATCAAGCTTGAAATGTAGATATATCTGACTCGTTGGTCTTTTCTCATTGTCTAGTATCGGATTCAATCTCGAGCCAGAATAGCTTTTTACATTGGTGACTTGAAACAAACGGTTCATTGCAATTATGATACAGCCTTTTTAGCCTCCTTTTTGTTATCTCTCTGCCTTTGTTGGTTTCTTTATAACTGGAGAGAAAGCATTATCAAATTGTGTTGTAATGTTGCTCCCATGTAGAACTGGTATTTTCTGAACTGAATTGTTAAACTTGGTCACAGATTAAGAAGTGTTATTATAGTTGTGTTTGGTTATAATCCATAACTACTGTTTCCTTTCAAAAGATTTGGTCATACTCGTTGTGTGCGCAAAAGTGGTGGACGATTGCATCTCGACCTCTAAGAAGAGACAATCAACCAATCCTGTTGTGAACATACTTATATGTTGATCAACTCGAATGAACTTGTTTGTTTTTGCCAGTTTTTCTTGGAATTGTCTCTGGTTGTTCTCAACTGATTCCGTCTGTTTCAAGTTTACCAATTCACCCAATGGGTTACTTCCGATTGGCTGCCCAAATCTTAGATAACAATAGTTTTTGAATGCAGTTCAGTTGAGTGTAGGTTGTTCAGATTTTAATTGGTAGTTCCACAATTGTGCATCTCCAAGCATATGGAAGTTAGTCAATCCTACTTTATCCCATTTCAGCGTATGTTGGTTGATAAAAAATTTCTCACACCGATACAACGATATTAGGGGATCTTCTGAGCCATCGAACGTTGGAAAGTCTAAATAGGTGTAGTGAGGAACAACTCTGTTACCTAGAGGTTGTTTTACATTCCGCGAATGACTTCCAGTGTGAAGCGCTTGAGGTGGCTGTTCCTGAGAGTGGTTGCTTCTTGTAGTCCCTTCTAATTCTATTTGTCTGTCGCGATTAAAGTCGGCCAATATCTCTTTGAATTGAGGATAACTACTGCAATTGGTTGCTCAATTGCCTTTCAATCTTTGCGGTCCGTGCCTCATTTGCGGTCAGGGCTTCTTAGAGCATCAATCGCAGATTTTCTTTTGTTGCAGAATCACTCATTGTGTTAGATTCTGATAGCAATTTGTTATGTTTCTGATATCAGGATCTTGTCACTGTGCGGTTTTCTAGAATTTTTGATTCCAGAATCTGCTTCTTCTCTTTACTGCAATTCCTTGAGTGACTTATTTTGTGAAAATAAATTACAACTCATCAAATTGAGTTGTTACCTTAGACCTCGTTAAAGAGAATTCCAATATCGTAATTTAAAATAATATTCTGATTTATTTTTATTAATAACAAGCATATCTTTTATATATAGGTTACGATTCTTATTTAATAATTTTTGACTTCCAGTGTGAAGCGCTTGAGGTGGCTGTTCCCGAGAGTGGTTGCTTCTTGTAGTCCCTTCTAATTCTATTTGTCTGTCGCGATTAAAGTCGGCCAATATCTCTTTGAATTGAGGATAACTACTGCAATTGGTTGCTCAATTGCCTTTCAATCTTTGCGGTCCGTGCCTCGTTTGCGGTCAGGGCTTCTTAGAGCATCAATCACAGATTTTCTTTTGTTGCAGAATCACTCATTGTGTTAGATTCTGATAGCAATTTGTTATGTTTTTGATATCAGGATCTTGTCACTGCGCGGTTTTCTAGAATTTTTTATTCCAGAATCTGCTTCTTCTCTTTACTGCAATTCCTTGAGTGACTTATTTTGTGAAAATAGATTACAACTCATCAAATTGAGCTGTTACCTTAGACTTCGTTAAAAAGAGTTCCAATATCGTAATTTAAAATAATATTCTGATTTATTTTTATTAATAACAAGCATATCTTTTATATATAGGTTACGATTCTTATTTAAGAATTTTAATTTAATTAAGAATCTAAATCTAATTAAAAATACTCTAGTAAAATATTAGAAATCCTATACTATTTAAAAATCCAATATTAATAGGAAATTACATATTATTTAAGAATATAATATTAATTAGAATTCCAACTATTTGTAAATCTAGTATTAATTAGGACTCCATATTTAATTGAACTTCACCCTCTTATTTAGTCGTTGTCTTACCTTCCATATTTTATGCCCTACAAATGGTTCATAACACCCTACCTTGTAATTTTGTTTCATTTATACACGGTTGGCACATCCTTGGCGCCTTTGTTTATAGTATTTCCTTTTTTCTCTAAGAAGAAAAGACCATTGGTTCAGACCTTGTATATGTTGTTTAAAACTCATACTCTTCTCTAAGGGGAGGACCTGAATGGTCCAGGACATAATCCTGGATGTGAAAGGAGCTCATTTATGCTTTGTCCAAGTCTCTTTTGTGATTTTGTAGAAATTGTACATGGGTGGCATCTCCTCAATGCCTATTGCAAAATATTATCTTTTTCTGAAATAAATAAATAAGTGAGTCAGTACCCTCTTTTCTCTTTTTTCCTTCTTCACTTAGATGGTTAGGAAGCAGGAGAGTAACTTAGAGCATGAGCAGAGCTGCTTTTGCAGACAGATAATGGTAGTGGAAGATCCAACAGGTTCATAGCCCTCTTCTTTTCGTCCACCTGGAAAGAGAATAGAGCTTTTTACCTTGATACACTGTCGGCTATATTCGTGGATTTCAGACCATGTCTCACTGGTGAAGAGCTTGTGGATCTTGTAGATCCTGTTTCTTGCCTGTGATTAGCTTTCATATATGAGCTGTATCCCTCTTGTCAATTGTTATGTAATATAATGATTACTAGTGTATTTAGATGTTCTAAGTTCACTGCAGTCAGAATAGTTCTTCCTTTAATTTTAAACTTCAACAATGACTTTAACTGTGCGATAATCAGGTTCCAAATGCCATACAAACTCATTTTGTGGACACTCTAGAACCAGATAAGCACCCTGTCATTGTGCTTTCCGGGTAAATTGCTTTCTTCCTCTTTATAAAAAATTCTAGGTTATCTTTTTCCTATCTTAGTGGATAGCATAGTAAACTATCACCTGGCAGGGTTTCACTTGATGGTGGTATTCCAATGTTCAAATGCTTAAGAAAATATTCTTTTTGTTTTAATTTTTTATATGTTGTGTATTACAAACATCAAACACACTGATAAAGAACCAGTGTCCTGTTTCAGCTAAATTATCTGCATCCTTGAGGATTTTCTGTTTAAGCATGATTTTGACATGTTGTACATTGAATATGGCGACAGTAAACCATTGCAATCCACAAAGCAAGCATACAATTGTTTTTTTTTAAATAAAAGAGAAATATTATTATGGACAATAGTACCAAGGGAGTATTGCCCATATACAAAATAGAAAGCAAACATATAATTGTTTACTAGTCAAATATTTTATATAAGGATAATTTACCAAGTTTGCAGGAGATTATTTGTAAAATAGGCTTTACTCAAGTAGATGAATCTGTTTGCTTATTTTATGAGTTAATCAATCAATTATGTTTTGGCATTGAAGTGATTAAAAAATGGGCTGGGTTTGGTAGGTCCTGATAGTAACTATCTATAAAATGGTGGATAGGGGGGAATTCTGATGGATAAGTTTTCCTAAATATGCGTTTTTTAAGAAAAGTGTCGACTTGGTGTTGTTCATAACTCCATAACTTTTGGTGCTGTTGTTTATGTGATGCAGCTTGATTATAAAATTTGCCGAGCAGAGTTTTGATGCAGAAATGAGAGCATCAATGTTCAGCCCTCGACTTATGGAGGTATTAACTGATTTACTTTCTGAGATATAACTTTAAACCTGTCCTTGCTATGGATTTTTGTGCTGTTAGGCCTTGTTACTGAGAACCCTTTGATCTCTGTTATTAGGTACTATAAGTTCTTCACTGATGTTTTATTGCTGAATTAGCACACTTAATTAAGGAATCATGGTAGGGGGTGCTGTATAAATAGCTCGCTAGTGTCCCTTATTTCCTACTCCTAGCCTAATTAACCATTACCAAGGTTTTAGGCTTTCTTTGTTAGCTTATTTATTTAAAAATAAAAATAGTAAGTTCCAGATAATAGAAACCTAACCCTAACCAGAAATAGCAAAGAGTTTAATGCACTTGCTGCCTCTTTTATACTTCTTGTTCTTGGACCCCTCATTTGTGCTTTTCTTCTTTACATTATTGACTATAACAAGAGTGTTGTCATTATTTTAGTTATGAAATATATAGATGTGATTTTTTACTTATAACCGGTCTTCGCATTTTAAATAATTACTTAGTCAATCATTTCCTTTTTTTAGAGGAAAATATCATACGTTATAAACAAGACACCAAGGGGTCCATGGAAAAAGAAAATTTACACTCAATCAAATCTGACAATTATTTCCAAGTCAGTATTGCCTGCTTGCATGTGTTTAAGCAGGCAGTTGCATTAAATATGTAGTCAGTTGGCTGTACATGTCAATTATTTTATTCCAATGAAGAGAACTGAAGATCAGTTTCTTGTAGGATGTTGTTCTATTTCCCTTATCATAATGGTATAAAATGTTTATTGTTCCTTCAGAGGCTGAAAGCATAATATTATATTGGATAAATTACATAGAAATCCTTGAAGTTTTGGTATAATCACGATTAGATATATTATTTTTTAAAAATAATAATTTAGTCGTTTCATAACAAACATGTTTATCAATTTTAGTCTAGTTTCATTTTTGATAGAAAAAGAAGTTTTATTCAAAGAGACAGAAATAAGTAAAAATTGTGGAAAATACTTCTAAAAGATACAATTATGGAAAATGAAGCATCGTCCTCGAACTTTCCAAAAGAAAGTCTGACATGCTACACTAGGCTCATAAATAAAATTAGATATACTCCTAGTGGAGTGAAAAACGATTATCCCCCGGTTTCTATGTAAATTAAGAGAGTCAGATCCAGAAATTAACCATGCGTCTTGGCCCATAGAGATGTTAAAAATATCATTTGATTGCCACAGCTCATTAGGGGAAGAATATGATCCTCAAAGATTCTCCGGTCTCTCTCCAACTAGATGGTCCACAAACCTATAGAGATAGCCCCTCTTGAAAGGGATTTCGACTCCTTCCTTGCTTCATTACCCTTGACATGACAGTGAATAAAACACTCCACTGGTTGGGGAGCAATCAAATGAATCCAAGTAGAATGGCCTTGTCCACAAACTCCAAGCTAAATCGCACTGCACAAATATGTAACTATTTGTCTCCCCATTATGTCGCAGATAAAGCAAATTCCAGGAGAAACTACTCAATTTGGTCAACTCCTTTGCTGTAATTCATGAATATTAAGCATGTTAAGAGAAGTTGTATATGCAAACACCTTTAATCTTAGAGGCAACCTTACTTTTCCAGGATGCAGTAGCAAAAAGAGATAATAATTTCAGTCTAGTTTCTCAAGAAAGCTTAAACAATAAGTAAATATGTCAACATGATACTATTCTAGAATGGGCGTATTTCAGTCTTTATATATTATCAATGATATTTAGCTTATTCATATCTTCCTTTTTTTTTTTTTGAGAATAAAACATATATTATATTATATAATGAAATGAAGTACCAAGAAGGTGTAACCCGTATACAAAAGTACTTATATATCTAGCATAATATCTATAAGGTCCCTTAAATCCTTGCTGTAAAATAGCAATTGGCCTCTTAACAACAAACTAAAGGTCTGGAACCACGTATTTTTAAATCTACTAAAAGATCATTTTTCCTTTCAAAGACTCTTTTGTTTCTCCTTTTCCAAATTGCCCAAAAGGTGGTCAAAAGGATCAGTCTGACAGAACGTGTATCACTCATTTACATGTAAGTCTTATTAGTATATATAAACACTTTATAGATACGTGATACTTAATCATTATTTTATTGACTATTTATGAATAAAGCAACTAATATTCTCCCACTATTTGAGTGTCTACCAATATTATGATTGTGGTTGTTGCCAGTTCATGTGATTGTATATTGGATTTTGTTTTTTTCTTTCTTCAACCTTTCTAAGGCCTCTTCTACTGTTTTGCATCAACATATAAATCGCATTATTGTAAAAATAATGAAAAACAACTGCTATCCTTTCTGTATCCGTCAAGGATCGCTGGTTTAGAACTCCTAGTTTCTTGTATAGAGATCTCACTTTGGTGGATGATGTCAGCATTGTAAACATTTTTCATCATTTTCTCTGTATATTTTTTATTGGCTGTGCTCTCTTCACACCTTTCAATCTTATTTCTATTTCTCTAAAAGAAAAACAAATAATGCAGAATAAAGCAACATAAAAAGCTTTTTGGCTTAAAAAGTACAAAAAAAGATAAGAGTTTTAGTTTACATGTTAAAGAAATGGCCAAAATTAGAGAGTAATTTCTTTAAATTCTTTTGAACCTTGAAGTTTCCTAATTGTTTTCATGTCCTGTTATCTTGGGCTACTTAATTTAGACAATGCTGCCTGCAGGCTGTGATATGGTTCCTTGCAAGATGGTCTCATACATATCTAATGCCTCATGAAGAACTTAGAGAGAATAACTGCAATCCAGGTTCTGATCAGCACCGGTCACTACACTCCGGAAAGGCTTTACTTGATTTTTTTAGTGAACACAATCAGGGAAAACCTGTGCTTGACATTGTTGTTCGTATCTCCTTGACATCACTCATCTCATATCCTGGTGAGAAGGATTTGCAGGTATGAGCTGATGTTATTCTACAAACAAATTTATGTTTGTCATTTGGGAATCATTAGCTCCCTGTACCATTCTCCTTGTTGTTTACAGCCTTGAATGTCTATGCCTAGTAGGAGCTGAAATGTGAAAAAAAAAGTTTAGTTGGTCAGATAGTTTTATGTGAATCTAAACTTGCTGTCTGCTTTGATTATGCGGTTTGGTAAATAACTTTTGGGATTATTTTTTTGAATTTTAAGCTGTTCATTATCATTTTGAGGCTGTAAATACCTCATATATGTGATTTTTGAAGTTACAAATATAAGAATCACAACAGAATGCCAGATTTATCAACTGTCGTTTCAATCACCTCATTTGTTTTTCTTTTAAAACAAACAAGGAATATTAAGAAGACACACAGCCATCCATGTAATATATGCCCTTCAGAAAATCATTTGACAAAGTATCTATTAGATCACAAGATCTTTTCCATCAATCAGAGGATGACCCTTGACAAACTAGACAGAATTTTGAACTAATGATCTTTAGTTATGCCAAACTATCACAAATTCGTTTGTTTCTATATAACGAAAAGATAGCCAAGGATAGAAAAACTATTATTTGATACAATGTAAAGTAATTACTAGTGACTCTTCCCTTTAAAGCATTAACTTTTAGAAAATTTGGTTAAAAAATGACTCTATTAGTTCGCATGTTACTAAAGTTATAACTATAGTGTCTGAATTCTTGTTGCTACCCCATTTCTTTTAATTAAGTTTTAGCACAATGTATTATCAGTTTATATTTGGTCCATGCTTTTAGCTTAGTGCATTTGTTATGAAGGATATGTTAGATTGTAAATAATAGAATAAATTGTTTATATCAATTTAAACTTTCAGAAAAAATGGTTACAACTCTTAGTATTTAATGGAATTATCTCAATCAGCATGACAAATTGAAATGGATGCTCATGATGGTTTATCTTTTCTTATTAAATGAGTTGCATGTTTATTTCCTAGTTTGTACAATTTGTCTTAGACAGATGTTTTTCTGTCCAAAAGATAATCTACTGGTGACTTTGTTCTCTTTTCTTTTTCGAAACACAATTTGGCACCTATTATTATCCCTGAGTTGTATAAGCTATTGAAAGCTTTCTCAACTGTTTCGCTTTATGGTTTTGAAATCATTTTGTAACCTCTAATTTTAAAATATCCTGTTTGCAAAAGAATATTAAAGATGTTATCCTTTCTTCTTTTTCCTTGACAGGCACTAACTTGTTATCAACTTCTGCACGCACTGGTTCGGCGGAAAAATATTTGTTTTCACCTTGTTTCATTGGTGAGTTCTGAGTCTTTTGCATGCAGAAATGCATTCTGCATTTCGGAGCCTGCAGCATTTTTGTTGGTCCTTTGGATGTAACTATTACACTTGGTGGCTGCCCATGTTATTTTCTTTACCTTATGTTTTGCCTTGTACTAATATTATGTAGATGGGCCAATCACCACAGAGTTTCAGTTAAATGGGGTTTTGCTCGCTCTATTATATTGCATCATTCCTTTGATTTGACTCTGTGGACCAAGGTTGAATTTTTTACCATCATGGTTGTACTGCTAGGTAAGGATGCTTGGGTTTTGGTTCAAACTAGACCAATTGGACTTGGACTGAACTGGGCCAAACATAATCCTGTCTGCTCTTTGGTCCAAAAGTGGGATGACCAAAAACGTTGGTTCCATTCCGAACGGAAATTTGAGAAAAATAGAAAACTTAATTATGCATTGTTGTGTCATTCACACTCAGAGAGAAGGGGTATCTGCTTACTTGGGGATTGGGGCTTAAATTTAGATACTCACGCTTGGAGTTTCTTAATCTCACACCTAAAGTTGTGGAATTTAGCATTTGATGCTTGGTTGGAGAAGAAGTTAGGCGTCGTGCTTAGGATCCCTCAAGAATTATATCTAAGGTGAGGTTAATTACCATACAGTTACAGTTGTATCACAATCATAAGCCATAGCTACTGTAAGTTCTATCAATCAATTATTCTCTCTGAAGAAATGAGAAGGGTATTTGTGGACTATTTTATATTAAGAAAAAGGTTTTAGACTCTATTTAATTCTATCCTACTTATAAATTAGCTGAAACTCTCTTAAGCAACTTAAGGAATTTGAATGATAAGTAAAATCCTAATACTGCTAAAATCTGAATCCTATTACTATTGCCACATCAGATTGAAAAAGAAATATAATTCTTAATCTACTTAGAAACTTTAGGAACTAAACTGGATTTCCATCATAACTTACCCAGGACTGTTATGGTAATCTATCCATTTAAGGAATATGGTTTAAACCTACATATCAAACTTAGAGTTTCTTAGATATCATAACTAAAATTTTGAGATCTAGGGTTGATTGGTCCTGGATAAGAAAAATAACTAGGACTGTACTTGAAGATGAAGTTTTGATTGCATCAAATGTGACTGTATCGCTGTTATAAAATGAAACTGCTGTAAGTTCTCTCAACCTCGAAAGAACTTGCACGAGTACTTATAGACTCTAACTTAATCTTAATGTAATTATCACTACTTAAAAAGAATTTTAAGAACAAATAAACTTATGCTACGAAATGTTAATCCTACCCGTACTTTTTCAACCAATACTAGACTTGAGAAAAATACAATTCCAATCTATTTGGGAAACCTAAGTAACTAAACCTCCTCTGCATTGAGAGGAGTTTTAGTCAAAGAAAGACATATGATACAAATTCATGGAATCAACAGTAAGACCTCTGTGTTCGTTAAGGTAAACATCTGCATTACCCTGGGTCTCTAGATGTTCTTTTTAAAGCATCTAAGCGTAAGATTTGCCATCAATATCACTTCACTTCTCTGCTCTTGTCAGTACTTTTGTGTTTTCCAACATACATTCTGGTATCTGATTAATCCATGGGAAACTTTTATTGCACTATAATATAAGGGAAATTTTCTTTGTCTAAACCCTAGTGGCATTGATACATTTCTTTGGCCAAGCATTCTCTTACCTCAGTTTCATTGTTTCAAATTACATGACCTGTAAACACTGGCAGTATTATTTATTCTAGCTTCACATGAAATGCCATGAATTAGTTTACGTTCATCTGTTCAGGATTCATGGCGTGAGCTAGCAAATGCTTTTGCAAATGAAAAGGCTCTGTTCTTGTTGAATTCCACCAGTCAGGTACAACTCTCAAAAGCTTTGCATCTCATCGTTTCAGATATATTTGCAATTCCCATGTGTTATAATAATTCTCCTTAACAATGTTTCAGCGTTCGCTGGCTCAGACCCTTGTTCTTTCAGCTTATGGGATGAGAGATTCAGGAGCATCAAATCAGTGAGATTACTTTCTAAATTTTTGGGTATTATGTTGCTTTTAGATTTTTGCACAGCTAATGTCTGATTTCCTCTTTCTGCTCTTCATAGATATGTGCGGAGTCTATTGGGCCCTATGACAACATATCTTGTGGAATTGTCTAAAAAGAATAACCTTAAGAGTGCTGCTCAACAACCAGATGTCATATTGTTGGTGAGGACAAAAGATGTGAAGTTCTTGAAGTGAAATTATCCATAAATGTATAATGTTCTCAATAGGAATAACTGTCCCTATGAAATTGACATACTATAGGTCACTTGTTTGTTGGAAAGACTTCGTGGAGCTGTCGGTGCTACAGAACCTCGGACGCAGCAAGCCCTTTATGACATAGGGATCACTGTCATGAACCCTGTTTTGATTCTCCTTGAAGTTTACAAACATGAGGTATCTGTGTCCACTTATTCTCTTTTACATAGGCTTCCAAAAAATGGTTTTCCTTTATCAACTTAATTAGTATGTCACATATATTTATTCCAGAAAAATATTGTCCCATATATATATATGGGAAAGGGAGCGCGGGGAGTGAAGTAGATATCTGTTAAGTAATCACCTTAGTGACTAATTACCCTGCTTAAGCTAATGAGAAGTAACTATGTTTAAAATTCTAGTCCACTAATAATCTCTGATTCCTGACTGCTTCAACTTAGTTGTAGGCGTTCATCCACATGATGCATTTGGTTTTCTATCTGTTATCAAGTTACTTTTTTTAAAGAATCTGTGGTTCCTTTGGATGTAATATTCTTCAATTAATGCTTAGTCTGCAGTTGTTTACCTGCTACTTAAATTTGTCGTTGACTGGGTGGATGGGCAAATTTCCTACCTAGAAGCTCAAGAAACAGCTGTGGTGATTGATTTCTGCATGCGTCTGCTGCAACTTTACTCATCTCATAACATTGGCAAGGTAACTTTTGGCCCAATGTTTTGTCCTTGCATAAGGAAATTCATGCTGGTCTAAAGAACAAGTAACTAATGAGTATTCTCACTCATTTCCCCAGATATCAATTAGTCTTTCAAGCAGCTTGCTTAGTGAGGCAAAAACTGAGAAGTACAAGGATTTACGTGCTCTTCTTCAGCTTCTTTCAAATCTTTGTTCAAAAGATCTGGTAGAGCTTGTTTTATATATTCATTGGTGCATGCACAGCCACACTCGTGCACCAGCATGTCTGTTGCAAACAGACAGAAAGAGAGTAGCATATGCCTATTAATATTGGGCTCCTAATGACACTCATCATCTATATTGTAGGTGGACTTCTCATCAGATACTGTTGAGGAAGAGAGTACAAACATATCTCAGGTAATTTATATTGATTTCTCATGCAAAAATCCCATTTACGGTATCTAATTTGTTAGAATTTTACAGGTTGTCTACTTTGGACTTCACATAGTTACACCCTTGATATCCTTGGATCTGCTGAAATATCCTAAGCTTTGTCATGATGTAAGATTTCCATCTGCCCTCGGGAATTAAATTGGGTTCATTTTGGAGTTTTTGTCAACTGTTACTATTTTTGCAGTACTTTGCTCTACTATCACATATGTTGGAGGTTTATCCTGAAACAGTTGCCCAATTAAATAGGGATGCCTTTGCTCATGTGCTTGGAACTCTTGATTTTGGTCTTCACCATCAGGTAACTCTGTTACATCAACTATGAAATCCATATCAGATAACAGATATGCATCAATTTTTGCTGCTCCTGAGCATGCAGTATTGTTCATTGAAGAGCATGTTTGTGCTTTTTATCATACCAAGGCTCTGTGCTTAATTAAATAGCACACTGGCACTAGATAGAAAAAAAATGTTCATATTGTTACATATGTATTATGGGCAGAGTGGGTCGCTTTTCTTATTATTAGATGGTTATTATCCAGAGTTCCTCCACTATAACTAGTACTATAAATTTTTACAATTAAGTTTTTTATTTATTTTCCTTCTGCTTTTTAGGACACAGAAGTAATTACGATGTGCTTGAGAGCTCTTAAAGCGCTGGCTTCTTATCACTACAAGGAGACCAGTGGTGGCAAAATGGGACTGGGATCACATGCTGCAGGTCTCACAGATCCAAACGGAAATTTGCAGGAAGGAATTATGAGTCGGTTTCTTCGTTCATTGCTGCAGTTACTTCTTTTTGAGGATTATAGGTAAATGGTCTGCTTATTTAGATAAACCAGGACTACAATCAGTCATAGAGAAGGTTCTTCATGAGTTTTATTTTGAAAGTTTGTGTAGGCTCTTGTGTGGCTTCACATACATGGGCATACAAACGGATCCATATAATATCCTTTTTGCTTTCATTCCCAACTTACTAATATCTATGTGCTTGTTATGTCAGTCCTGACCTAGTTGGCACTGCAGCAGATGCTCTCCTTCCATTAATTCTTTGTGAGCAAAGCCTGTACAAGGTGACTTTGCTAGTTTCTTTCCACATAACTATAAGTTTTTGCTTCTTCCATGTTAAAACTTGATTTTCAGTATTTTTTGTACTTATTCTGGTGATGAATTTTCCGGAAAATAAGTTTTTCAGATGTTCCAATAACTTTCCACCTAAGAAGCATATTAATTATTTTTTTAGGTTGGAAGTATCAGTTGGAGAGGTAGAATAGACATGTCAAATTTATTTTAGAAGCTATGCTCAAGCAAATATTATTCTTATTGCTTAGAAAATCTAGATTTTCTTTATCGCCAAAGAAAATCTACACTTTTGACATGTATCTGTGCTTATCATAGTTTTCCTTTTCTTAAATGTTATATTGTAACTTACTAATCAGCATCTCGATGTTTAGCATGTAGTGCTATTACGCAGATATTATTGCTCCTTTCTATAAATAGCTCGATCACCGAATCAGCAAATTTAGTCAGAATATTGTCTCTCTGTCTCTCTCTCTCTCATCTTTTCCTTAAGAGGGAGAGGAGTGAGTTAGAGGCTTGGACTCATGATCTCATACTAGAAGGATGGGTTTTTAACAATGAACTAAAGCTTTTTGTCTCCTCTAGTATCTTATTTGAATGTCTTTTAAACAGGCGGGTTATGGTTTTTCTTCATTTTCTCTTTTCTTGCAGAAATTAGGCAATGAATTGGTTGATAAACAGGCAAATCCAACATTCAGGTCAAGGCTGGCAAATGCATTACAGTCACTCACAAGTTCAAATCAAATATCTTTTGTGCTAGATCGAGCAAACTATCAGAGATTCAGGAAGAATCTAAACAGCTTTCTGATTGACGTGCGGGGATTTTTGCGGACAAAATGATGCATGCCAACTGTAAATTTTTGTAGAATAGTTTTTTAAATCTAACATACGTGATTGAGAAGAATGAAGCTGCAGCTGCAAAGAAGGAAAAGAAGCTTCATAGTTAAGAAACATTTTGATTGTCATTATCGCCAGTTGCTTGTGAATGCTCTTGTACTGACAGATATAAAACAGTGGTGAGACAATCTATTTTGATTCCAAATTCTTCATTGGAAGAACAGGACAACGCATGGAAGGCCAAGACTGGATTTAACCTGAGCAGGCATTTGGAATAGAAAACTCTGTTTATCTGTCTCAGTCATGGATCAACATGAATCAGTTCGTGCATCCAGGAGTTGAATGCCATCTTTCTGTAATCTTGGCTGAAGCTCCTTCGCAGTCCGGACATCTTAGGTCGAGACTAATCAAAGTATTAACTACTTGTTTTGAAGGGATAAGCTGCTAGGCGATATGATGTTTATTCTTGGCATTTGTGCACAAAAGTTTGTCTTTGTTGTGAACTTTAAATGACTTCGTATCGGAAATATATTATGTATTAGCGGGAAAGATAGAATGACATTTTTTTTCCCATTAAATTGCGATCCTGTATTATGGCAAATAACAGAAAATTCAAAGAAGTCTTAGGGTAATTCAAAGGCACATCCTTACAGTTTAAAAGAGCAAAATATACATTGCAATACAAGTACATTTCAATACAATATAAATACAAATACATATACAAATACAAGATAAAAATTTAAATATAAGTAACATTTCTAAGTTAATTTTATATCTAATTTAAGATAGATACTTCTATTATTTGCCATTCAACAAACTCGATACGAATTCAACATTATAAGACTGAAGATATTAGTAAAATTAAATTGTGTTTGTCCATATCAAATAATTAAAACTTCAAACAAAATATAGAATGGATTTGAAATAAATTCAGAACTCCTACTTTTTAGGTTAAAAGGAAAACAGTTCGCCAAGAACTCAACGCAAATACAGATTAACGTATCAATTCTCAAGATAACTAGGGTTCAAAATATACTACATTCATTCAATTTACTATTTGTGAAAGAAATTCTATAACCCCAGCAAAGACAATAAGATACAAATCCTATTGGCTAATGTTGAACAAGCAATGCTGCTCACTTATGCAATATGCTCCTCTTTGGAAGTTTCGGTTTCTTCTGATTATGGCTCTGCAATTTGTCATGAATAATAACTTGGGTAAGTAGAGATACGAAGGCTCACAAGGACACTATTAGGCAAATACGGTGAATTGTAGCAGTGTGTACCTTTTGCCTTCCAAGGGCATCATTATCTGTTCTCTCCTTCCAGTTGCTCTTGCGTAGTTTGATTGGCCTGTTACCAACATATTTACCTGAAACAAAGTAAGAGCATTATCAGTAACACCACCATTCCCAACAGTGTAACCTATATTTAAACCCAAAAATAGGTAGGGTTACTTACCATTCATTTCTTTAAGTGCAGCAGCAAGATCAGCAGGGCTGGCAAAGCTAACAAATCCGTAGCCCTTGGTTTTCCCAGTCCGCTTATCTCTCACAACCTAGTACCATTAGGCACATTGAGGTTTCTTGCTTCCAGAGCAAATGATAAGAAATGCAAACAAGGATTCAAAACAGGAGAAGGGAATATTTATTTTTTCTTAAAAAATATGTAGAAACAACACAAATTACAAACTCAATTATGAACACAACAACTCACAAGCACCAGTTAAAAAGTTTTTCGAAGCATCTTCGCATCACAAATTACAAACAAAATCGTATCAACAAAAATCAAATTGAGACAGGGTAAGCCTCATAATGTTTTGCCAGGTGTCAGAACTCCAAGCACATACTATTAAGATCAAACTACTAACTTGCACATACTTTGGCACTTGCATCCTATTTCATAACAAATACTCTTTCAAAAGAAATATAGCTTTCAAAATTAGAAAACTCTTTTGTTTTCTATTTTTATTTATTTAAATTTTTTAGATTTTTATTTAATTTAATTTAATGAAAATAAAAATAATAATAATAATAAAATTGGGTAAAAATATTATTTGGATTAGCAATTGACTTGGCAATTAAGACCAAGTTTCCGGTAGGGTTCCCTACGGACCCGATCCGTCCACCATCTCCCAGGATATCTAATCAGACTATCTACATTTTTCACTTATCAATTCACATAACATTTTGCCTTTTTTCTTAATCTCAATCATCCAATCACACACAACATATAAACCAGTAATTGACACCAAATAAGACAATACAGTACCGAGTTCACCATAATAAAAGAAACCATAGTTCATGCATACGAGACCATAACATAATTACATCAAACATCATGCTACATTTAATACTGGAGATTAGACCAAACAATAACAGACCAACACTGTATCAGACTCAGACCCCATTGGCAACCTAAATCAATTATACATCTATAAAGTCACACAGTACAGTTTAATTATTTATTTAACTTTAATACCGTGATAGGAAATAGAGTGAGGGGTCCTTACTTATTTCGATGTCTGAATTCGACTCTACAGTGCGCCTACAGACTATCCCTAATTTCCTTAAATTTTTTCCGAAAAACTGAAACGCACTACCGGTACCTGCACGTGTCCCAAAAAATCCCAAATCAGACCTAGGACCCCTTTCGGCCAATATCGGAATTTCGGCTCCACCGACGGCGGCGCCGTCTGCGGCGGAGATCCGCCTCAGATTGGCCTTTTTTCGGCCAACTTGCATCGGTCCCTGCGATAAAACAACCCTAGGACCATCGGTGGGCCAAAAAAATAACGAAAAATCGAAACTTACCGGCGGCGGTGCTCTCGGGTGCGGCGGCTCCTCCGGCGTGAGTCACGTTTTGATTTTTGGCTCCGATCAACCTGTAGAGAAAAGAATGGTGATCATAGTGGTATAAAATTTGCATCGAACGGAGGCCGGGAAGGGCCTCATCGGAGGCAAAAACAGAGGGGGGTCGCCGCTGGACTTCGGCTGGGTTTTCCGGTGGTTTGGCTCCGGTTTGGCCATAAGCGGACTTAGCATTGAAAAACGAGCTAAGGGAAGAAAATTTACCTCGATCGGTGGTCGGAAACTTCCCTAGTGCGGCGGCGGTCGGCTCCTCCGGCGTCTGGTTCTTCTTCTCCGGCGAGGCACTGGCGGTTAGGGTTTTGTAGTCAGGTGTGGGTGGGGTTATTTATACTCTTTGCCTTTTAATCTCAACCGTCCATCAAGATTAAATCTGAACCGTCCATCAAGATTAAATCTGAACCGTCCGATCGCAATTTAATTGGAATTAAATCTGGGCTGTCCATCGCGATGCAATCTTGGTCGTCCGTGCCTGATTGAATCTGGGTAGTCCGTACGCGTGAATCTGGGCCGTCCGCGCGCACGTTTGATCTGAGCCGTCCATGTGCACAGGAACGGATCTGGGCTGTCCGATCGCGCGCACACGGATCGCCCACGTGGCCCGTCCCGTGTCAGCGTTTCCTTGCCACGCGGCGTGTCCTGGTTGGCCAGGGCTGCTGACCGGACCGCTGACGTGGCTGTTGACGTGGCACAACTTTTTTAATTTGCGTTTTGA